TGCAATGATAAACATGTGAAGTGTGAATATCATACATATATGTAGCCACATCTTTAAACACCTGGGTGCACATATCTGGTAACCCAGTGTTTCCTGTAACTGTAGCAGAGCTGCTCTGACCTGCCAACTGAAGCAGAGCGCATCAAATGAGAGATGTAATTAAAATATGAAAACACTAGCTTTATTAATAGTAGTGATTATGTATGCATTCCTGCACTTGGTTACAGCCACACAGACACAAGTTCATCTGCTTTAGTGAAATGCCAAGTTCTGCCAGAATTGGTGTGGCTTAAAGGTGTGCAAGAACTTGTACTCTCACTAAACAATCAAGGGAGAGGGAGGAGACTTGAGGGTGCAAACCCCTGTTCACATGTGGATTTTCATACTCACAGGTGGGCAAAATGTGGTCCTCCAGAAATGTCGGCCTACATCTCCCGTGGTCCCTCACCACTGGCTTTGCTGGCTAGGGCTGATGGGATTTCTAGGCCACATCATCTGCAGTGCCACAAGTTGCTACTTTAACAGAATTAATTAGAAAGCCTTCCTCTTAGAGGAAAGCCATTAATCAGATTCACATCAAGACATATCAGTAATATTTTATAAATATTTTGGCAAAATTATTGTTCAGATAGTGGCCTCCTTTCTTGCAGATGATGCAGAGTCAGGCTTGGAGAGTTACATTAATAAAAGATGTTTATCCTTCAGTGATACTGAGACTGTAAATGAATCGTGGCAGTTCAGGTTAAGTAGCACTGTCACTGTATCCTTTGCTTCACTATAGGAACACCACTAAAAAGAATGCTGCATTGCAGCCACTTTTTTAACATTGTGTGAATCTATTTTTAGCATGCTTTAACATTCCATTCATGTAGCAATTCAATTGCCTTTCTATACTATCTAGTAACTGAAATTCTCGGTGTGGAGTTTTTTAAAAAGCCTACAAAGTAAAATAAAGTGAAGTTAGAAGCAGCAGCAGTACGTGACAAAATGAAAAAGGGAATCCATCAGCAGTGCTAAAACAATGCAAAGATCTAAAAACATGAAAAATATTTTTAAAAGAGAAAGTGTCTAGAAAGACATAATGAAAAGGAGGAGATGTGAATGGTTTGGCTTGTGACAGAGCATAAAGCGTGAAAGAAGATACGTGGCACAAAGCTGAATAGAAAGAAGTGATCCCCAAGAGAGCAGACAGGGCTTGCTGGGTCACTCAGGATCATAGCCCAATTCTTTGCAAGGCCAGCATCAAGGGTGGGCACGGTGGGCACTTCCGGAGGTCCCACACCCTACCCGGCTCCACTGACGCGACCCCAGCGGAGTTGTTCTTCTTCTTCACCATTGTGGCCTTGCTCTGGACCAGACGATGGTGAGGAGGAAGAGCACTAGATGCTCCTGCCTACTGGTTTACTGACTCTCTGTCTATCAGGCTAGCAGATGACATGGAGAAAGAAGATGAGGAAGCATAGCAGCTGGTGAAGAGTGGTGATGAAAAGGAAATTCACTGAGGGTGGGGCCCGTGGAGAGTGCTTTTTCCCCAAGTCCCTCCACACCTGGAGCCAGCACTGTTTATGTGTGTTTGCAGAGAAGAAAACCCAGTATATTCACTGAGGTACATTGCAGAGAAGAAAACCCAGTATATTACCTTGCCCTGTAAGGTATGCTTAGAATTGTAGCTTCAGGCAATGCAGCCAAGCCAGGCTTAGTGCCAGGCACATCAGTTTTTCACTGTGGAGACAGTGGAAGGATCCACTGGGCGGGCTTAGGGCAAAGCTTCTGCATATTACCATCATGCAAGACGAGGAAGTGAGCATAATTAGTCCATCACCTTGTTTGGTAGTAAAGAACCCTTTCCATAGTAAAGGTTGTTTGAGCCACCATCCTATGCAGGTCCAAACTGAGGTCCTGCAGCTCCCAGCATTCCCCAGTCATGCAGCTCCTGGAAGCTCCAGTCAGCATAGCCAATGGTGAGGGATGCCCGGAATTCAGAAGATCTACTCTCTTCCTGGTGTGCACTTAAAATAATGCTTCACATATTTTTAATTGGCATTCCTTTCCTACTGTTGTGTATCCCACATGTGCATGCACAGTCACCAAAATTGTTCACTTGTAGTCCAGTTCTTGGGTAATATCTCTATCCTGCATAGATTCTGCACTATTTTGTGCACCAGTTTTGTAGTGGGGCCTCGGAAGGGTCATGCACTCATCTTGTTCTTGTCAAATAATTAGATTCATTGAATTGTGCTTGATAGTTGAAGACGCACGTGTGCGCGCGCGCATGTGTGTGTGTGTGAATGAGAGAAATGAGAGAGATGCATAATTGCTCAATTACTCTTTTGGAAAAGGAGATCCATACACATCATTTTGAAGACAATTTTTCTAAACAGCTTTAAAATATGTTGTACTTACCAGCAGCTGCTCTTGTGAGTGTTTTCCATTTTGAGGAGGGGGGTATGCTCTCTTAAAGTATACAACATAGCAACATGAAATCATTTTGTTTGTATTACTCCAATCTGCTGCCGTGGAGTTGTTTATGGCAGATTTACCATGTAGCATCAAGCACTATTCATCTGATGGAGTTTCTAATGCACTATGCAATAAACTGTTCAGTAGCCAGAAGAAGTACAAGAATAATTAATTATATCATGACTTCTGTTTCTGTGCTAAAAAGAGAGTGATGTGGGAGACTAACAGCAACATTAAAATGTATTGATGCAGTGAATCCCCTGGCTTAAACATGAAAGACATGAGTGAATTTAATATAGTATGTAAAACTACAGGGAACAGTTTAATTCATTCTAAGTAACTGTAATATTTCATCCTCCCCTATAATTTCCAAATAAATTAAAACTGTGTGGATGCTAATAAAATGTTTGCCCTGTTTGCATTCATAAAGAATCTCCCTTTTAAAATATTAACTAAATTATTGCTGTAAGGTTAAAAATAGAATTGATTAATCATAGAAGCTCTGCAGTCTTTGTTGATGCGAGCTTTGGTAATGTCCAGGAAGTTGCATGTTCTTTGGGAGAAAAGGCTAAAATTATAATATTATGTAGAGCATCCTTCTCATGTCCTCCCTCAGGACAGCATATATTATTTTCATTCAGCCCATTATAGCAACTCAGCCATCTTATGGAATTGTTTAGGCCAAGAGATCATGACTGGCCTCCAGTGAGATTCATGGTAAGAAGAGTATTTCTGACCCCTGCTGATCAGGGGTTAGGGCTGGTGCCAGTCCCCTCCACTAATGGAGATGCGTTTTTCTGATGAGGCAGCTTTTGCACCTCAGAGTGCCTGTGGAAAACTCCATGTATGACAATTGCTGGTGGCCTTCTGCTGATCACAGGAACAAGCAGGGCATTCCAGGATCTGGTCAGGGAAAGCCTTGGATCTGTCAAGGGCCACTCATGCCCCTGCTATAATACTGCATTTTTCTGCCTTCACACATTCCAGACAACAGGCCATTCTTTTGCAAATCTTTACTCACCAAAGTATACCCAATATACACAGCCACTTCAGACAGAATCTCTGAGGATGCACAGATTGGTTCGTCCAGCTTCTTCCAGAAACCTTCCTTTTGAGCATGTCTGGGCCCAACCCTTTCAGGAGGGTCATTTTGGAAGTGAGCTCACCTTTCCTTTGTATATCCACCCGCTAGTTGGCTAGTCCTCCTCTCTCAATGCTCATCATGGTGTCAAGAGTCATTCTAGCTTGGTCTGACCCTGAGAGCATCTTTCCCAAGCCTCCACACACGAACCTTCATCTTGGTTATTCTCAGAGCCTGCCTGCGCTCCTGGGCAAGTGCCTCCACTTCTCTCATCTCAAAGCCTGGAGCCGCACATTTCCAAGTCCCCTCTGCCACCCTGGAATGCGGGATGAGTTCAGCATGGGCTGGGAATGTTTGCTGAGAACAACTGTCCTTCTCATTCCCAACAGATGTTGTACTCCAGTTTAAGGCCATCACTGATGAGCTGGAAGAGGTGTGTTTAAACACAGTACATTTTCAAGTATGGCACATGGGGCAGGTGTCTGTGTATGCTCATGTGGAAGAAAAGCATTTCTGCATTGAAGGAGATGGGTGAAATTCCACAGTTACCTTGTATATTCTAAATATGGACTATGTAAGGCCTATATTTAGACTCTCTCCTTTTGTGTACTTTGGCCTTCTCCTTCTACAGGAGGTTGAATTGCCATAATGAATGTTTAGAGTATTTAGGAGGAGGCATTAAAAAGAGTTAAGCAAGTATCCAACTTTTAAAAGGTGAAATAGAAAGCATTGTCTTTCTACCCCCCTTTACTACCGCTAAAGATACCTGAGGGCTACAAGCAGGGCATATGGGAGGTCAAGAAAAGGAATTGAGAACTGTGTGGATGGGCAGCTCCTGAAAGTGGGATACCAGGCTGAATGGACTGTTAGGTCTGGGAAATATGCAGGTTGGAAAGTAAAAATAGTAAGAGGTTGAACATAAATGCTGCTTAATAAAAACTGGTGGGAGACCCACCACATGGATTGAGTGGTATCCAAGGAGAAACACGCCAATTTATCATTCCTAATTTTCTTTCTGGAGCCTCATGCAGGAACTTCTGTATTTTTTTTTCAGTTCATGAATTTATGCAGACTTTTAGTAATTATTTTCCTGCCATATCAATCACTTTTGTTCTTTCAGGTCTTCCTAAGAACATGAAATATATGCAGTAAGATTATTTGTTAAGGATAGTGTAGTATTTTCTGTAAATTTTCTCTACAATGTAACAAACTGAGTTTCTTTTGTCAAGTACTATCCAAGAAATACTTGCCAAGGGAATTGGCCCCTAAACCTTTCTAGAAATAATAATATATTGGGTCCAGTCTTGCCAAACTTAAATGATAAGAATGGAAACCTCATTAGCTATAAATGCTAAATTATTATTTGAAAAAGATTGTTGTACTTTGACATTGTACTTGATATGGGTGTTAAGATACTTGTCAGTCACTATTAAACTATTTATATTTCATTTTTTTATAGGATTGCCCGGCACTGCTGCTGACTTAGATAAAAGAAAGCTAATATATGGGAAAAACTTTATACCTCCGAAGAAGCCAAAAACTTTCATACAGTTAGTCTGGGAAGCATTACAGGATGTGACTCTTATCATTTTGGAAATCGCAGCCATCATATCTCTTGGACTCTCATTTTATCATCCACCTGGAGAGGGAAATGAAGGTAAAACTGTTTTCCGTTACTGTTAATACATATCAGTTGCTTGGCTGCCTTGTTGAGGATCCTAGGGGATATGGTGAGTTTGCTACTTTTAATTCCCCCAGCCTTTGCCATTGTTGCATTTAATTTTCTACTGTTTAGTTCAATTTCTGCTGGCATTGAGACAGCAGTTCACTAGGTCAGGCAACAGAGTTTGCATACTGGCACACTGTGCAAATCATGCCGGTGTGGAAGAAACAAACAGAAGCCTGCCATGAGCAGAGGAATAGAAATTTGTTTCCTTTGCTGGCAGTTGAAACCTGCCATTGCCTAATGTAGCCCAGCAGTGATGCCCAAGGCAGTTGTCCTGCTAAGCAGAGACAGAAGAGGGTCTTGGCTGGCTTCTTGTGCACCATCTGGTTTACCTTTCACAGCCGTAGAGCTGCAACATCTGAAAAAGAAAGGGAGAAAGAAATGGGCCATTGCTTGGTATGTGCTCTGGTCAGGCTGGTCCCTGCTGTGCTTGGTGGCCAATGTATTGTGCTTTAACCATGGCACAAGTAAGTATTTGTGCCACTGTGTCTCCAAGCCAGTGCACAGGAACAGGTGCTCATGGCAAGAAAAGCAGCACTGATGTAGAAAACCATCTTTCTTTCTGGGGTGTAATCCCACTAGTTACTCCTGTATTAAAAGCATAGAGTGACCTTTTGAAAGAGTAATGAGTATTTGGCTGGCTGGTGGTAATGGTTACATAATGTTCCTTTTAGAGATTGTAGGAAGTTTTGGAAGTTTTACAAGATTTTGTAATGGAAAGATCTGCATTAAAATCATTTTGTACTTTCTTCTGAGTCAGTTTCAGTGGTACAGTTGTGATTTTAAAATACTGTGATTTTTAAAAAATGTGATTTTAAAAGGAAATAGCTTAAAAGTAAAATATGTTTAATTTTGCAGCTGTTTTTTCTCAGTTTGTCTCACATAGATTAGATGTTCATGAAACATGCTGCGTAAATAACATTGTTTCATATTTTAATGCCTTGACTATATTTTTCAAGGCTCTATCCATGCATGCTATAAACTCATGCCTAATATATAAGTGTAAATACTTATAAAGTATATTGAGCCCTTTATATAGACGGCAAGGTTTATTTTTGTGCACTAATGCCCTGCTCCCCGAAACAGTTAAGTTCCTTAACATTAGGAAAGTCTTAATAATTAACTCTTAAATGAGAGATGATTCAGATTTTATTTTCTTAAGCAAATGAACAGCTGTAGAGTAACAGTCTGTGATATTTTGCAGATCCCTGTATTTGCAAATAAACAGGTTCCCTGTTTTAAACTCTTGCTTATAAAAGGGGAAGACTTAGAATATATATTATCAAAACGTTTTGGTTGAATGCTACAAACATGTACATTTTTGTCCTTATTGCAGGACATAATAGTTTGTTTCCCATGGGAAACTGCCACATTTCACAACTGACAACTCACGGACTGGGAAATGTGAAAAAGAACTTTCAACATAAGAACTGCCCATGCCTTTTCTTCACCCCTCTAATACATTATCTCACTAAAATATAGTTTTAAATGTTTGATTCTCCATATTCTGACTGAAAATTTTAAGTAATGCTCCATCATGCCTACAGTGAGAGAAATCAAGCGATTATGCTTAGGATGCTAACTATGTTGTTACCCATTGTTAGAAAAGCCTGCTCGGCACAGTAAGCAAGGCAGAAAAGTCTGCCTTAAAAGTAAGTCCCATTGAGTTAAATCATGCCCCTATGTGCTTGCCTTAAAGTAATTGTTGCAGGCATGGTGGTGCCTATTTGAGTACAATGTATGTGGCTGTAATTGTCCAATACTAATGATCTAAACTTTTAGTATTTTATGTTGCATATTTTTACACATATGAGTCCCCTTCGCCATCCCTGTGCCGCTTGTGTATTGTGTAGGGATGGGTACATTTTTCAAACTTGATCTCACTGAGGTTCTTTCTTTTCCACAGCCAACCTTACTCTGCCCCAGTTCCCTTGGAGCTGTTTCTCCCCCTCCTCAGACAGAGAAGTTTCTACATATTTTTGTGCACATTATTTTAAAACATTTATATTTTGTGTTCTTTTTTTCAAATATATTTTAGAAATGTATGAATCTTTTTCACATATTTTCAACATATATGTATATTTGTTTTATTCTGTGGTACCTCAAACTGTGCTTCAGTTCACTTTAGTCAGTCAGGGAGGTGCAAATTAGGTTAGATTGAGGAATTTTTCTTTCAGTACTCACCCGTGCTCATTGAAACACTCATCGCATTCTGGTTTGTTAATGTGTGCCACTATTGTCTAGGATGAAAAAGAACGCAAAATGCATAGCAAAAGTTAAGCATTATAAACTGATTTTAGCAGGTAAGAGCTAAAAGTATGTTTAGCTACACACACACACACACACTTAACTTGGTATAGTTCCCAAACCCCAGCTCCAGATTCTCTTCAATTTCTTTTCTACATCAGTGTCTGTAAATACCCATGTCTGACTCTAGCTTAGGAAAAGGAACATATAAAAGTTAGCTGTGGTTGTAATAAGTAGCCATTGCAAAGGTTATTATTTTTTCAGAGGATCTGGATTCTTTTTTATAATATAATTTTTATTTTGCTGCACAATGTAATCATTCAAACCAATTATAGTGCTACAATAGCTTGATCCTGCTTCTTTGGATAGTCTGATCAGAGTTCACTTTTCCACAGCAACATTTAACTTGTTATTTTATTTATTGTCCTAATACTCCAAATCTTCTTTTTTCACTGTATATATGCTGTTCGTCAAACACTAGCTAAGCAGATTCTTGTAGCAGTTAACATCTTCACTAAATCACTAGGGAACTGATCCTTGATAGCACTCAGGAGAACAGATGTTGGGGTTAATTGTAGCTCATAGCCTGCAATTTCTGTGATGTTGTTCCTTCTATTCTTCCAATTTTCCTTTTCTAGAATACAATACAACCCTAGATGGGCAAAATACTCCTAGCATTAAACCTCCATAAGATATTCATTACTGCTGGAAATATCCTAGACATTCTTGGCCATATATAATAATAAATAATGTTTATTATTTCATAAACATTCAAACACATCTTTGAACAGAGTTTTGCATCTTACTGGGAGTTAACAATCCAAGCTGCTACTAATACTTAAGGTAGCCTTCTCCAACTTGGTACTCTACAGATGTTCAACATCCTCATGTCTGATTCAGGAAAAGAAATTGCTAGGATACTTTGAAACCTGAAGTTCTCTGCAAAGGAGCAACTGAAAGATATGTGCCCATGTTAAATGTAGTTTGCACCGAGCTCTCCTTTGTGAGATCCTTTCCATTACTTTGAATGTCTCTCCCCTCCTAGCACCTTCTTCCTGAGCACATGAGCTTAACCTTGAGTTATGCTCCTGTCGTATTCTCCATGAAAGCAGGAAAGGGTCAGCGGTCTACCTGGGCATCCTTTCCTGCAATCCTGTACACAGTATGAGCAAGTTCCACTAAACTCAGTGAGGTTTGCTTTTGGGGGAAGTATAGAATTGCACTGCCGGTTATTTACATGGGTTCAGAAAAATTGCCGCCCAAACCTGACCACAGGAATTACTGTGGTGAACGAGTGGACATACCATTCTTAGCTCTCGTCATTCTGGTGGCTCCACGATGTCCTTGAGGTAGCTATTCCTGCAGAATGAGCTCAATAAGGAGAGCTTTTATACAGTGGCTCTCTGCAGAAGATAGGCTATTTCAAAACATGACAGATTTAATTGCCTTGCTTTTATCAGGCGTGAGTGGATGATACAATGTGGATTTTTGTTCTATTCTCTGCCTGTGCTGAAGTAGGATGTTGGTAAAAGTGATTGCTTATTTCTTGCTGCTCCTTGTGTTTCTGCCTTTGATGGTGCTGCTGCTGGAGTGCAGCGATGGAGAAAGAGACTGGGCTGAGCCTCAGCACCTATTTGCAGAGCACTGTAGTGGCGTAGCTGTGTTCTGTGTATTTCAGCTCCCTTGTGAATTTGGAGATTCCTTTCTGCTTTCAGAGTCATACTTGTGACTTCTTTTCCAGCAGCACGTTTGTGTGTTTGCTGTTTGTTTATTTATCGGGTTTGCTGAAGCCCAAGGCTAGCGGTTTAATTGATTCTTTTTTCAGTGACACCTGATACATCAGCAAACAGTGAAGGATCGAAGACCTTTCTGTCAGCAGTTATCCTTAGATGAACAAGGACAGGGCAGTTTAAAAGCAAGTCAGTGCTGAAGTGCTTCTTACTTTTTCCAGCCACTTTATAGTGATCGCCCATTGTGATAGATTATACATTTTTCACTACACGCTTTTAGAAGAAGCAAGCTTATTTTTACCTGGTGTGCTTGTATATGTGCGTGTTGTGCGTTATACGCACACACTCATGAATTCATCCATACACTGGACTGAGCTGAAGGGGCCTGATTAGTTTAACTAATGTTATTTGCTTTTAGCCTAACGAACGCCATTTGCTTTCTGTATAACTGCTTGCTTTGGAGAGGAAAAGGGAGAAGGCAAAGCAATGTTGATAAGCGCAGTGAGTGAGAGAAGGCCCCCCACGCAAGGACTGGCATGCAGTGATCACGCTCCACCTGGATGCAGAGAAGGGGCCTTCGCAGGCCGGGCATGCAGTGGACATGCAGGCCCCATGCAGGCCCCGCAGGGGGATTGGTTGAAGGGTCAGGCAGACCCTGAGGGGGGATTGGATAAGGGAACAATGGGGGCGAGATTGAGTGAAAAAGAGAGAGAAAAGCAGGATTGTGTGTGTGTTGCTGCCTGCCTGTGTGTGGGAGCAGTCAGCCGGTGCCTTTGCTCAGCTGAATAAAGGAAACTAAAACGAATCTCCACCTTGCTGAACCTTATTGGGATTTGGTTTAGGGGTCTGTAAGTCACCTGGCTAGCAGGGACACCAACATTTTCTGGCGCACAACGTGGGGCTCGAGGGCTGTGTTGCCCTGCCAGAGAAAGAGCCCCTCTTTCGGGGACTTGG